GGGTTTTCTCATAACAAAAATGGACTTGTCATTTTATCCTATAAGAGTATGGGAATTTCATTTTGTGAGCTCATTGCTCACAGTACCCCTAGTTTCATTAAGGTTAAAAATCATTGTGATTGTGTATTTCAGATGGAAAGAGTAGAAACCGATTTAAACAAATCAAAGCAAGCAAGAGAGAAACAGTCTCGAGAATTCTCAAAACAGATTGATGAAGAGAGAAATCAACATGAAAGAAAGGTAAAGATAGTTAAATAGAAATTTGGAAAAATTATTGGCATTTTCTTTTCAAAGGGACAAATAACAATAAAATCAGTAGACAGGAACAGTTTGGGAATAGTCATGTTTTAACAAAACAATGAAATGTAATCTTTGTAGCAAACCTCTATGCACTTTGTTCAGTAATTATTTGAGTAGTCTTAGCATGTTATTTTTTGTTTAGATTGTGGAACTAAAAATGGCCCTGGAACATGAGAAAGCTCAGATGTTAAAAGACTTTCACACACAAAAGGAAATTGTTATATCTGAGCATGAAAAAGAAATTGACAGCCTTAAGGAAACGCATCAAAATGAATTATATGAGTTGAAGTGTCGAGTCCAAGAGAAACAGGACAAAGATGTTAAGGTAAGAATACAGGGGATCTTTCAGATAGTGTCAGAAGATATTGTCCACGATTTTTTGTAGAAATGTATTTTATTTAGAAAAATACATGCACATATACAATCATGTATATGTTTATAAAAATTCTTTGGAAAAATAGGTTGTGATATGTTTTTTTGACCAGAGGTACATAAAACATGCTTGACCACAGATGATTTAATCAATGTTTTTTTTTTCTGTGTGTATTACAGAAGATCACGCAGTACGAGAGACAGATTCAGGAGTTACGAGAGGAGGTGGTCCAGGCCAATCAGCTGAGGAAACAACAGCTGGTAGAACTGGGGCTCCTACGGGAGGAGGAGAAACAGAAAATGCTCAGAGAGCACGAGTCGGAGGTGAGTCAGACACTGATGACTGTAAATATGTCTGTCTTTAAATAAAGAAAGGAAAACATTTCTGTGTTCACTTGAAATAGTAAAAAGTGAAGTAGTTATTGTCCATAAGCTGTGAAGTAAAAAGTGAAGCAGTTATTGTCCATAAGCTGTGAAATAATTTTAGAGGTTTTGAAGTGAAAAATAAGTTCTTTATATTTTAATTAGGTTATAAAGTTACGTTCTGAGATGGAACAACAGAGGCTAGACTTACAAAAAACACACAGTACAGAGTTAGAAAAGATGCTGGAAAAGGTAAGCTAGCCAGTATGGAATTACACATGTAAGTGTTCTTGAAATTAACAACAGTATACAGGCTGTTTTCCTAAGTATTTTTCCCTTAGTTGTGAAAATAGACAAGTGATATAAGTAGAATTTTATAATGTGATTAACATCTTTTTGACATTAACAGACCAATGCAAGGCTGAAGGACATTGAGAGAGAGTACAATGAGAGGGGACAGAAAGCCACAGAGACAATAGGGGAGCTACAGGCCAACATTAACCATCTCAGAGACGAGGTCAAAAGGTCAGACATAGGGCTATAGGTCATATTGGTAGTAAACTTTGCTGTCGTGATAAAAAAAAGTTAAAAAGATTTAATGAATCTAATTGAAGTCTTTTATTAGAGAGAAACATCAAAAATTAAACATTTTCAACTGAAGGGAATTTACATGTGTTTGCCCTTTTGTTAGGTCACCTGAGTAAACTCAGGTGACCTATTGCTATCCGTTTTCGTCCGTCGTTGTGCGTTAACATTTGAACATTTTCAGCTTCTTCTCTGCAACCACTGAACCAATTTCAACCAAATTTGGCACAAAGCATCTATGGGTGAAGGGGAACAGAAATTGTGAATTTCATGATCCCTGCCCCCCTGGGGTCTGAGGGGTGGGGCCAAAACCACTAAAATTAATGCAATCTTTAAAAATCTTCTTCTTTACTCCTGGACATCAAGCAGTCAAACTGTTTGCATGATTGTAATCAGCATTGAGTCCTCTACCAAAATTGTGAAATTCATGGCCCTAGGGTCAGGGGTTCTAGTGCTAGGGCGGGGCTAAATAAGTATATAGTGAAAATGCATTATTTCTTTGAAAATCTTCTTCTCAGCTCCTGGGCATTAAATAAACCAACTAAGTACATAGTTATGATGAGCAAGATTGCCTCTACCAAAATTGTGAATTTTATGGCCCCAGGGTCAGGGGTTCTGGTGTTAGGGCAGGGCACTATTGATTATATAGTGAAAATACATGAATTCTTTGAAAATCTTCTTCTCTTCTCCTAGGTATAAAATAAACTAACTAAGTGCATAGTTATGATGTGCAAGAGTGCCTTTACCAAAATTGTGAATTTTATGGCCCCAGGGTCAGGGATTCTGGTGTTAGGGCGGGGCTCTATTGATTATATAGTGAAAATACATGAATTCTTTGAAAATAAATCTTCATCTCTGCTCCTGGGTATTAAATAAACTAACTAAGTACATAGTTATGATGAACAAGAGTGCCTCTACCAAAATTGTGAATTTTATGGCCTCAGGGTCAGGGGTTCTGGTGTTAGGGCGGGGCTCTATTGATTATATATTAGTGAAAATACATGAATTCTTTGAAAATCTTCTTCTCTTTTCCAAGGTATTAAATAAACTTACTAAGTGCATAGTTATGATGAACAAGAGTGCCTCTACCAAAATTGTGTATTTTGTGGCCCCAGGGTCAGGTGTTCTGGTGGTAGGGCGGGGCTCTATTGATTATATAGTGAAAATACATGAATTCTTTGAAAATCTTCTTCTCTGCTCCTAGGTATTAAATAAACTAACTAAGTGCATAGTTATGACGTGCAAGAGTGCTTCTACCAAAATTATGAATTTTATGGCCCCAGGGTCAGGGGTTCTGGTGTTAGGGTGGGGCTCTTTTTAGGTCACCTGAGTCACTCGTCGTTCGTCGTCAATCGGTCATAAACTTTTGAACATTTTCAGCTTCTTCTCTGCAACCACTAAACCAATTGCAACCAAATTTGGCACAAAGCATCTATGGGTGAAGGGGAACAAAAATTGTGAATTTCATGATCCCTACCCCCCTAGGGGCCTGGGGGGTGGGGCCAACACCACTGAAATTAATGCAATCTTTAAAAATCTTCTTCTTTACTCCTGGACATCAAGCAGTCAAACTGTTGGCATGATTGTAATCAGCATTGAGTCCTCTACCAAAATTGTGAAATTCATGGCCCTGGGGTCAGGGGTTCTTGTGCTAGGGCGGGGCTAAATAAGTATATAGTGAAAATGCATTATTTATTTGAAAATCTTCTTCTCTGCTCCTGAATATTAAATAAACTAACTAAGTACATAGTTATGATGAGCAAGAGTGCCTCTACCAAAATTGTGAATTTTATGGCCCCAGGGTCAGGGGTTATGGTGTTAGGGCGGGGCTCTATTGATAATACACTCACTGTCAGAGAAAATACATGAATTCTTTGAAAATCTTCTTCTCTGCTCCTGGGTATTAAATAAACTAGCTAAGTATATAGTTATGATGAGCAAGAGTGCCTCTACCAAAATTGTGAATTTTATGGCCCCAGGGTCAGGGGTTCTGGTGTCTGGGCGGGGCTCTATTGATTATATAGTGAAAATACATGAATTCTTTGAAAATCTTCTTCTCTGCTCCTAGATTTTATATAATTTAACTAAGTACATAGTTATGATGAGCAAGAGTGCCTCTACCAAAATTGTGAATTTTATGGCCCCAGGGTCAGGGGTTCTGGTTTTAGGGTGGGGCTCTATTGATTATATAGTGAAAATGCATGAATTCTTTGAAAATCTTCTTCTCTGCTCCTAGGTATTAAATAAACTAACTAAGTACATAGATATGATGAGCAAGAGTGCCTCTACCAAAGTTGTGAATTTTATGGCCCCTGGGTCAAGGATTCTGGTGTTAGGGCGGGGCTGTATTGATTATACATGTATAGTGAAAAAAACCTTAAATCTTTGAATATTTTCTTCTTTGCTCCTAGGTTTTAAGCAGATGAACTACCTATATAGTGATGAGTAATCCCTAATCTTCAAGAATTGTAAATTTCAAGGCCCCAGGGTATTAATCAAATATTTTTGAAAAGCAAGGATGCCTTTCCAAAAATAGTGCAATGTGAGGATCTAGGCCTAAGAGTCAAGGGTTCATGTGTGGTAGTGGCACTACTGATTATTGCTGAATATTACTGATTAGTTGAAATGCATTTTTTGTTCCCCTAACGTGCCTATGGGTATAAAGTAACCAAACTAAGGAACTGCTAAGTGTATGGTTATGATGACCAAATTGTAAATGCTATAGCATCTGGCTTAAAACATGGATCAAATTCAATCACTGGAAAGTTGTTGAATAATGCTCAGGTGACCTATAAGGCCCACGGGCCTCTTGTGATTATATAGTGAAAATACATTAAATCTTTGAAAAATTTCTTCTTTGCTCCTAAGTATTAAGCAGATGAACTACCTATATAGTTATGATGAGCAGGAATCCCTTTTTAAAAATTATAAATTTTATGGCCCCAGGGTCAGGGATTCTGGTGTTAGGGCGTGGCTCTATTGATTATACAGTGCAAATACATTAAATCTTTGAAAATTTTTTTCTTTGCTCCTGGGTATTAAGCAGATGAACTACCTATATAGTTATGATAATCTTCCAGAATTGTGAATTTTCAAGCCCCAGGGTCAGGGGTTCCATAGAGGGGGGCTGTATGTATATACTGAAAATATAAAATATAACTAGAAACGATCTCATTGCTAGCAACGAGAGGTCTTCCGTCCGATTCTGAAAATAAAACCTGTACAATCAAGCTGAAAAACTAATTTGAAAAATTTGTACAGACGGGTGATTGAACCAGGGTTACCAGCAGTATTTCCAACGCGCTTACCTTTACTATATTGGGCCCACTCTTCTAAATTTATTTGTAAATATTTCTGCAACAGTATATCTGTCTTGAAATTGTGAAAGGTTGGTCACTATTCATAATTTCGCACCAAAATCTTCACGCCTTTTCTTTGGAAAGTTCTGTTAAAAAGGTGTGATAGCTTCAATGAAATTAAGAACGTTCTTATAGCTTAAATTGTGAGTTTTAAAAGTCATTTAATACGTTCAATGTTCGAGACATAAAACATATTGTTTATACGCAAATGTTTATATAAACTTCATTAAACGATCTTTTGAAAAATGATTTACTGATTTTATTCTTTTCTATTAGTTTGCATGGGAAAACAGTGGCCGCGTTTTACACTCACTGAATATATTGTTTCTTGATAAACTTATGCTTACATGTATATTAATCGTGATTCAAGATCTGTTGTTCCATGATGCAAAAGAAAAGGTTGTAGATATAGTATTTCATTTGTACATGTAGTCTCGTCTTTTTCTAATTTGAGAACCAGATAAAACCAATTTGAGAAGACCTCGAATTAAAACTTTACTTAAAACAGAATTGCAACGTAACTACGACGTGACAATCAAAGTACTCTAGACTTTTACATTTCATTTATCCTTATGTTAGTTTCGTTCAACCAAACGCTCAGCTGACTCCATAACCCCCTACGCGCTAAATTTCGGAGTTGACAGAGACAGACGCCATTTTGGATACGCTTCGAATTTTCAAATGTTAATATCTAGAGTTTGGATTTATCAATTTATAAACAAATTATATATTAAGCCTAATTAGAAAAATTTCTATTAACAATATTGAAATAATTCAAAAATATGAAAAACAAAAAAGTTAGAAAATTCGACTTTTTAAATTTTCATCTAGAAACAACAGGAAGTACTGACGACGAACGAAAGGTCGCGTCCTGGATAGTGAATATCACGATCTATAATCCCTGAAGGTTTCACAATATCTTTTACCGTTCTTGAGATTAACCGCGGACAAAATGTCATTTTAAATTCAGGAAAAGGTCCGTAACTTGGCACCGGAAGCAAATTTCCAAAAAATCTCTCGGATAAAATAACTTCAGATTACAACACATTGTTTCTGAGAATTTCGTGAAAATTCACCCAGTAGTCTTCGAGAAATCGCGTGCACAAAATTAGATGGTCAGAAAAATAATAATAAGAAGAAGAAACATTAGAATCGCTATAAGGTCTTCCGTGAAGACGGAAGACCTTAATGAATTGTTTGAAACCTGCTCCATGGTATTAATCAAATATTTTTGAAAAGCAAGAATGCCTGTACAAAAATTGTGCAATGTGTGGATCTAGGCCTAAGGGTCAGGGGTTCATGTGTGGTAGGGACACTACTGATTATGGCTTAAAATATGAATCAAATTCAATCACTGAAAAGTTGTTGCATAATGCTCAGGTGATCTATAAGGCCCATGGGCCTCTTGTTTACTTTTATTGCTTGAAAAACACTATTCTTCAACTGATATTTATGTATAAAGATATAATCAACTGAAGTGAATGCTGCCCTTGGAAAATAGCTCTTCATTAAAATATACGTTTAATATCAGTGTACAATAAGTAATAATTATGTTCACGCATTTATATTGTACTAACTCAGGGTACGTGATGTGGGAGAGAAGAAATGCCAGGATGTATCACAGCGATATGAAGATGAGAAAAAATCTGTCAAAAAGCAGTATAACAGTAATATGGAGGTAAGTTTGACAAATTCATTTGTACTTGTACTTTATATGGTGAAGTCCATGGTTGAAAATACATTTTAGGCCCTTTAATTAAGATTCAGGCCATATTCTTTTTGGCCAGTGTTTCTGTTTATTGACAAAATCTTTAAAACCTTTGACTTAATTTTAACAGTTTATGGCTTTCATGTTTTCTGTATTTCCCTGTGTCAGCACCAATCTCTGGGTACCAACATTTTTTACCTATTTATCTTGAAGGTTTATCTACTTTTGAAAAATTTTTAACATTGGCAATAAATTCCGATTGCATAGTTCTAGGGCTTCCTTTTCACATCTGTAGCCTTTTTTGGACACGAACGTTATTGATTTTATGACCTTGACCTTGAAGTTTCACCTACTTTTGAAAATTTCAAAGCTAGTAAATGAGCTGTCATAACTGGGTACTAGGGCATTCAGTGCTTCATAAACATGTTTTGTTTTATTAACTTCAATTGCTTTAAAAATCTGTTCCAGAGAAAATACATGAAATTTTTGTAGTCATAAGGGAAAAAAATTATGATTCAGATTTGAATATAAAGAGGTAGAGCCACTATGGGCTTTATTTGGCCCTGAGAATTTCTGAAAAATCAAAACCGCTAAGTTCAGGTTGCAAATACAGTATTTTTCACTAGGAGTGTTGTCGACCATGTATCTATTAATCGTGACGTAATTTTCCATCTAGTCAATGCATTATGACGTCATAAAATGTGTAATTTTCCTCATATCCTGTAAATTCCTTTGAAAATGACCTAAAGTGGAAGCATTTTTTCAATATTTCATATAAAGCACAACCTCTGATCCAAAATATACAAATACATAATGAAAGCTCCGTTTCTGAAGATCAAAAAACATGTTTTATTTTTTGGATCGTGGGCTGTGCTCATATTTTAATTCTTTGCTGAAGGCAGTCAAATACGCATGTTTTCTGCAAATTTCAAGAACATTGCAATTTCTAGAACCTGTTTTCCAATATCTGGATTCCAAAAAACGAAATTTAATTATAGAAAATGAAAGCACCGAGTGCCTACTTTATTTTGATATATGAAATGGGAAAGAGGGTGATGGTTAATTAATTGATATAAGTACAGGGCCATTTTATGCATAAGATGGCTCTTGCTCTTTGTATATTATTTATGCTGAACATCATTGTTATTTTCAGAGTTTGCAGCGTGAAATAGACTCCCAGCAGGCAAGAAATAGGCAGCTAGAGCGTAGGTTAGAACAAATGGAGGCAGATCATGAGGAAAAGGTGATTTAATTGAATGGATGAGATTATAGTTACCCTGTCTGTTGTGCAGTTTTGGTTAAATAATTTACTTATTATGATGTTTTATCTGACTCATTTTGGACATTATTTCTTTTCAGATTACACACCTGAAATTATCGTTTGAAGAAAAACTGAGAGGCCTTATTCCTTCTTCAGTCAGACAGGTATATGTAACGTAGTTAAGCAGAATAGGAAAATTCTTTCAGACACAAATTATAAATAATGAGAAAATAATGCTTTTGTTTGGAGCTGTATTATCTTCAAATCATTAGAAAACTGAAATTGTGGTCATGTGAGTAGAGTGAATACAAAATTCTGTCACGTGACTTGTAGGTAGCATGTTTTGCTAAGTAGGACACTGTGCTCAAACACATTAAACAGTCAGCCATCGATTTAAAATATTCTCTGCTTACATGGATGGGCTCATACATTTTAAACTCTAGTAAATAATGTACTTGTGCCATACAGAATAAAAAGGAAGATGAAAAATAGAGATCTCGTATTTTTAATACATGTCATTGTTATTCACCCAGTCTAATTTTAGATTCATTCTTACGATATGTTAGCTCCGCCTCTCATACATACATAATGTTCAATCAAGGGCAGGTAAATGTAAATTCTCTATATTTGGAAAACCGTAATGACAAAAGCATGAAATAAGTTATTGCAGTCTAAAATTATTTTTAACATTTAAATTGGGTGTCTAATTGATAGACCACAGTAGTAAATGTATGAAAGTGAACTCGGTTAAGATTTACGAAAAAGACCCAAAACACAGCGTTAAGTGCAGTCATCCTTTTCATGTATTGGGATTTGGGAATAAAAGCACAATTAAGACATGATTACTTCATACGAAGACTAGAAAATAACTTTTTTAAAAAATAGAAATGTAGTCACCATGAGCCCATATTGAAAGGATATCTACTGAAAGTAGATATTTCATTTGGTGAACCTTTTTCTTTTATAAATGTTCCATTTTTGTGATACAGGTAATGTATTTCATTCTTTTGTATAGGAACTTGAGGACACCATCACATCACTGAAATCTCAGATCAACTCACTACAACAAAAGACATTAATCCTACAGGAAGAGGTGGATCTCAAAAACAAGTACCCCATTGGTCAGTTCTCCTCCAGTTCCCCCATCAAAGCTGTGTGACGATTGGTCAGTTCTCCTCTAGCTCCCCCATCAAAGCTATGTGACGATTGGTCAAATTGTAAATCCTTTTATAGATGAGATTAGTGTGGATGGAAGAATTTTTAAGTCAAAGATTTTTAAGTTTTCAGTATTCTCTGTTATTGAATAGGGATTGATGTATGCATTTTGATGACAAAATCTGTGATATTTTTACGCAAATGTGTGTAACAACACTCGTTTAAAAAATGTTCTTGAATGGTGAGAAGATTTTTAAAAATACCTGATGTTATTCTCTGTAAAATTCCATATTTTCAGTTACCCTTAATCAATTTATTAATCACTTTTTATTTAAAAGCTGCTAATGTGATGTTACAAGTGTGAACATTTTATGTTGGAAT